AAATCCATCATTGACCAAACGTTATACCTAAATAATATGTACCAAACGTTATACCTAAATAATATGTATCAAAGTCTTGAACAAATATAATTAATACAATTTGCTTACCTACGCGTTAAGAAACGTACACTCGAAAAAAAATAATATACAACATAATAAATTATACATTTTTATGATTTGATAGTGAAAAGTTATTTTATATGAAGAACCATGAATCTAAAAAAAAGTCACTTTATATTACGTCACCAATTGCGCTTTAAATCTTGGAGAATTTCCTCAAATGGAAAAAGGACATATATTTTTATTAAGAGAGTTAATATGATAAAATAGTTTATTTTGAAATGTTTTATAAAAAAAATGTAACATCGTGTGTACTAGCGTGTTATTTGTGTTATTCACAAGACATTTAGTTCATATTGGTTTTATAAATTAACATTTGATCTTGATATATGAATGTGTTTAAAGAATTTTTTAGAAAATATAAATCCGATCTCTAGTGATGAAATTACAAGCTTTTAGAGAAATGTGAAAAATATATTTATATCTAGATTACCTATGGTTATGTATAACGAAGATTACTCGAATAGAGGAAAATACATTAGTATTGCAACTGACGTTTTTACATTTTGTAGATATATATTGTTGTACCGAATAAATGCAAATTAGGTACGCATTCGGAATAATATTATCTAAAATACAATTATATATTTTAAAATGAAAATACTTGAGTTATACAGGTGTATATATAACATTAAAGTATTAGTCATGAAACTTTATAATAGTATATTATAATATTGGTTATGAAACCTAATACTAGTAAAATATGAAAATATGACATATTTTCATAATTTTAATTTCCAATAAACCACTTAATATTATTTAAATTTATTTATAAATTTAAAATTTGATAAGAAAAAAATATATATACAGTATACTGTATATTATTACATAAATTATAGATATCAATGGATGCGTTTATTATAGTTTTCATATTATTATTTATGCAACCATACATAATGTAGGTATACGCCATACAGTATATTATATTATTATAATAACTCACGTTCTAATTAATTTTAATCAAATTCAATAACTATAAAAAACGCATGTACGTATAGTTAATCGTTATGTAACTCAAAGCGTTTCACAAACAAGCCTATTTATAGAATTTGTATCATTCGCGTACACATTTTTTTAGTATATAAGTGAATAATTAAACTGTTGTTATAATATTGTCGGGCAGATATTTTTCTATTATTTTCTGACTAAAAATACTAATCAATTAATCAAAAATAAATTTATATTTATAAATAAGTGTCTATTAGATTCTGAGTGGATCGATGAATGTATTTTTATTATAAATATTTGTACCTATTCTATAGAGTAGGTATGCGGATATGCATTTTTTGTTCTAATGATTAAGATTTAGGATAATTGTAAAGCCTTTGAAAACATGCGTTCGTAACTATACTTGGTAAGTAAAAAAAAGGATTATCAATTATAAGTAAATACAATGTTTTAATTTATTTCTTGAATAATGTGCACCAATCGCCATGACCTGCAACTTTGAAAAGTCTACGACATTCACTCTCATGAAATGTTTAATTACATTAATGTTATTATAAAATATTATTATTCACATTATAATATTATATAAATTAATATTATTGTATAGTGCGTAGGTGTTTATGCTACATAGATGGTTGTATAAATAAAGTTGTTTTTTTACTGAATTATGATTACGAATGATTCACGAACTAACGCAAAATCGATAAATATAATATTATTATGTATAGGGATAATTAGGTGACATTCGTTGTTTTGTTTTAGCGAATTTATAATAAGGTAGATCGATTTTTAATAGTAGGTCACATATTAAATTAGATCACAATCTATAAAGGCTATACATTTTTCGGAACACAATACTAATGATATACAATGTTTACGTGTGTTAATAATTAGAAAAATGTATAAAATAAAAAGGCTATATATTTAGTATATCAGTTAATTGAAATTTAATAAGTCATACGTTTTACATAGATTAATTTAGAATAAAGTTATAACCATATAAAACTAAAAAGGTTTAATTTATTTAATGTTTAAATATTTATATAAAGGGGCAAGGGTGTAAAATAACATGTTAATATGTTAAATTAAGAAAAACTATTTTTATATACCTACCATTAAGTTGGATATCAACTAAACGTTTCAAAAAATGTATTTATATCCAAAGACAAAGAGTTTGTGTTTAATAATTAAGGACGGACAAATAGGTATTAAGAATTCAATGTTTTTTTTTAATTAAAAGTTGTAGTAGTTACTAATTTTTAATAAAAATTCAACACACACACCTATAGTAACGCCCTTTTTCCTTATAATCGAATTTTTTCAATTACATTTTTATAAATTTGGTATATTCTACACATTTTAATTAATATTTATAACTATTTTATTGATTAATGTTTGAATAATAAATATTATATCATTACGTGTTAGGTAGAAGTGTAGTACGGTTTTTAGTACATATTAATGTATTATATAGTTATTTATGTTATATATTTATTGTACAGGAAAGGATATAGGTACTCTATTTTGAACTTCTACTAAACGAAAATATATTTCAATATAAAAAAGAAACTGATAAATTTGGATTACAATATATTACGTATATGGTATATACTATAATGGCTATTATACGTTCTAATTTAGATTCTGCTGGAGCTTTTTTTTTGTGTCTAAAGACACTTTTTCTAGTAGAAAAATCATTCACTCATCAATTTTAATTGATGTTTCTAGTAATAAATTAGAAATTTCTCATCATTTTTAAAATAACTGAGGAAATAAAAAATACAAACAATTGGTAGGTAATCATACCATAGTTTCCAAAAAGTTAGATTATTTTCACTCAGAATAGTTTTTATAGTTTTTCATCCTGTACAATGATTTATTAGCCAATATTATGATACTTAAAACAGTTAAAACTAGAAATGCTTGATATTAGAATAAAAAGATTAGATTTATATATTATTTTGAAATTAACTAATAGAAATAGGAATTGTTGAGAATTGCTTTCTTTATTAAACTTTAATGTTTCAAATCATAGAATTAAAATGTTGAATTATGTGCACTTCAGTGTTTGAACTATAGTCAAAATACTCCAATAAATGGATTAATACAATTCAAAACCATTTAAAATTTAAATGTTAATCTATTTTTTTATATCTCAATAAATGATTTTAGCTACAGTAAAAACTGTCTAATGCGGAATAGCATGAGACCAATCAAAAATTTCGCTTTAAGCAGTTTTCCGATTTATTCAATAAAGCGGAAAAATTCCGGATTATAAATTTGTATCAGTTTTCACATTAAAAAATAAATTTACAACATTTGTAATTTTTATTTTTTGAGTTAGAGATTAATTATTATCTTAATTTATTACTTAATTTATTTTTATAACTTATTTTAGATCAATTATAGACATATTTTCTTACAAAATTATTAAAAATTTATACATATTACATAAGTATGAAGGTTGGGAATTAAATTTAAACATTTAACTTTTCCAAAAATCATGTAAAGTTTTGTTTTGTTACTGTTGTTGCTATTTTTCCAATATTATATGTATTTAAATGGACATCACCTAGTATGTACAAGCAAGCTGTTCAGTATATATAACTGTGTACAACTGTTTTACAGCTATACGTACATTATACATACAGGATAAGTTTGTATCGCAGATACGATAATCAAAAAATACAAATTACTTAAATAATATAATATGTAGTGCAGTTTCATTTGATTATCATTTTACGATGTACCTACATATTCATATTAACGTAATACGACGCGTGTCATATTTCTGGCTTATGTAAGCATTTTACTTGCATTGGACCTACAAAACCGTTCCATTTCCACATTAGGAAGGTTCCGTTTTATCGAGGTTCAACGTCTATATAAAACTATAGAAACATGCCGGGACCATAGAAAAATCCCATATTGGATAGTTTTCTGTTTTATTCAGGGTCCACATTACACAGTTATCACTGTATTACCTAAATATTCCTTGGTTGGATAATTATTAAATCATTACATTCTATGTCATTGTCATGTATTCGAGTTAAGTTTTCATTGTTAAATATTTTTAATAATTTTTATTTATAGTGAATTATTTTTATTATAAACCTGTAAAATATCACATAATTATACTTGAATCAATCTAATTACCGATTATATTACTATTCGTTACTTTTGTATTATATTTAAGATTTGTCATTTTAACAACTATATATCATATTAAATCCTAGATGTATGTTTATATTTTTAAGTGAGTTTACCCGTTTAAATATACAAATATAAAAAATCTCATTGAATTTAAATTGTATAATAATATATCCATTATAGTGACATATTCAATGACAAGGTGGGTATACTGGACATTTACTGTACAGCATAACGGTTACGGTTGGGTTGCCTATTTTACGGCTTATTTTGTTTTGAATTTATAGGGAACTACGTACATAGGTCAATATTATAATTTTCCGGCATAACAAGGTCTTACTTGATATCGTTGATGTGGCATATATCCCATGGAATGCAATAATAAATAATTTTTTAACTACACTTATGTCATACTTGTATCATTTAAAATTACACACATCTTCTACAATATACTGTACACTGAACTATTCGAGTTAGGTTAGGATCATTAAGCATATTATAATATATTATGCACGCATTTATTTATTTATATACCATATATTTATCTAGGTAGTTACTATTTAATATTTATTGTATCGCATTGTACGTGTTGAATGAACCAAAAAAGAATTCCCTATTTTGGTTCATTAAATTCGTCAATAGTAATACTATTATAATTATCAAAAATAGTTGGGTACCAGTTAGTACAGTAGGTAATAATTAATAATAATGTAATTATTGGGGGAGGGGATCTCTTGTTCCATAAGGCCTTCGAAGGTATAAACTGGTTGTCCCCTCTTCACTGTTGTTGGTTGTCTGTTTAGTGTTTATCGACGACTGCATATAGACTTTTGTTAATCTGTTCGAATCGTTCATAGCAGCACTAACTGGTGAGTTTTCATGATTTATTATTTTTTTTTTTTTTTTTTTATTGTTTTACTTGTCCTAGACAGAATTCCGTGTTAATTATAAATTAAAAATATTTTGGTATGACAGATTACGTTGAGTTATTATCATCTTATTTTTGCTAATGGAATTTAGAGTAACATAAGTTTTACATTAAAAAGACAAGTATACTGTCTAAAGTTGATATTTTAATTATTTTTTGCTATTTATTAATGCATTTATTTAAGTATATTAAGCGATATTGTCTGTAGAAATTATTTTTATTATTGTGCGTACAAAAGTTATTAGATAGCTTTAATTATTTTAAGACTACAATAATTCAGTAAAAAAATTGAATTGTTTTTGATTTTAATTTTTTTTTTTTAAATAAATTATTATTAGTTACATATTTAATATCAAAAACAATTAAAAATATATGATATATATATATATAATATTTAAATATTTTGTTATTAATTTAAGGTATAAACAAATTTAACTTTTAAATTGCTTTTAATAATGATCTATAACCAGGGGCATTACAATGAGAGTGGAAATTAACCATATAAATATTAAATACCAAGTACCTAATTAATTGTTCGATCATACTTGGGATGCATATTTGATCAAAACTATAGTTGCATAACAAATAATATTTGTATCACTGAATAAATGAAATTATTATTTCATTTATTCAGTGTTTATACTTTGATATTTCTATAATTTCACCTGTGGCCTATCGTCAATAAAATACGAAAAACTTGTGAAATGTGTTATTCTATCTATATATGTAGTTAGAGGTGAAAATAAGAATATTTTTCATAACAAAAACAACAAACCCATAGTAAAAACAACTATAAAAACCTGTCTTGTTTGTATTCTGATATACTTTTATTATTTTTAAATAATAAAGATAAACATAATACGAAAAAACTACTTTTAATCATTAAATAATAATTTATAATTATGATAATAAGTATTTCTATTATTATTTGTATATTATCCATAATATAAATATTTGTGTACTAACATCTGAAACCAATTTGTATATTGCATATAATTTATATTATAAAAGTTATCATATTCATTAGATAGTGTCGAAACAAAATCGATTTTTAATTCAAGTAATATACACGGATAATTATCAATATATTTTAATATACCTATTATAATATTATATTATACGTCTTATAATAGTAATTACATACTTAATGTATTCCAAAAATGGTTAAATTGACTATTGTAACTTATTATGTGTTGTTACACTATAGATTTTAATAAATATTTCATATGTAAATAAATGTAGACTCTTATTAATATTTAATACAATCTAACAAGCATATTGGCAGTATTTTCCCTACAAATTTCTCAATATTAATAAACTATATTATTATTAGGACCTTGACGTTTCAATAATCTTTAATGAGTTCTAAAGTAGTTACCTATTTAGAATATTATTGTTGTACAATACCTAATACCTATAATTGTATATCATTATTTATTTCGATAGGAATCCTTTGGAGTTTGGGTCGTTAATTTCATGATAAATAATGTTATTAGTTTTAATTTAAAATTTGGATGTAGATTATTATTTATCATAAGTCTTTATTATTTATGATAATTATAATATGATATTTTATCGGTATTTCATCACTAATCACCAATCAATATTCTTCTGTTAAAAATAAGATATATTTAAATCATTTGTTTATATTCACAAAAATATTTATATATGCTATTTATGATACCAAGTTCTATTTAGATTTAATTCATACTTTATTTCTAAGCATATTGCTTTTACTCATAAAATTAAATTATAATTTGTCCATTTACGACTACTTTTACGTCAGAAATTTTAAGCCATTTAATTACGATTATTAAACAGCCGATTTCAATTTAAACGAAACACATCAAATACATTTTAAGTTATCAAGTTGAAAATCATAATATTTGTAAAATAATATACGCTTACGCGTAAAATAATAGTAAATCTCATTTATCAGTACCTAATTATCACATATATTTGTAAAATGTAAAATGATGCCATCGTTTTCTATAGTAGAATGTACAGTTATATAACGTATTGTTTTTAGACGATTAGTAAGGAGATTGAAAAGTAATTTTGGTTTAATTATTTAAACAGTTTGGCGATAATTTCAATTTATATTAATAAAACAATTTTTTTTTTGTTATGGCATTACTTTTGTTTTAGTGTTTCCAATAAATTTAAATTACAAATGCTCTGTTTAAGTATAATCTTTTGTCAAATATTTTTATTTTTATATAAAACAAAATCAATTGAAATAATATTATAACATACAAATTAGATTGTATTGATAATAGAGCCATTGATCTAGGTTAAAATTGAGTGTACATGAATTGTACATAATATATACATATTTTTTTGTATATTTTTGTTTATGCAAAAATGGTATGAAAATTGAAAATAAAGAAATTTACCCTAGAGAAACATAATATAATATAAGAACAAAAAGACAGAACGCTTAATAATACTAGTTTTGCACTCGAAGGCTATTGAAAATATTTGTTGATTTGTTGAAAAATATTTGGGGTGGGCCTTGGGATGAATTTTTTTTTTTGTTTTATAGAAAACCATCTGATCTCTATTACTATTATATCTGTTTGGTTTAAACATGTAGCAAAACGTTTGACTTGACTTTTCTCGCTGTACGAATTATAACGTATTATATTATAGGCTATTGTATTGTATGTTTATAAAATAATGTTTAGGTGTACACAATAAACGTGGCAGATCATAGAAATTACGGTTTTTATTGATAATTACGCCGTCACACGTCTTAACGACACTGTTTTATTATGATGTTCGTAGGAAAGTGTTAAGCAAAATAAAATTTAGTCATCGATATTATGTTCAATATAATGATCACCGGTGGAGCTAATTATTAGGTGTAAATCTTTTAGCGTAGTATTTTTGACATCTACTTCCGGACCAAACAAAAAAAAAAAAAAATTTAAATTCTAGTATAATGTACCTACATATTTTAATAATAATATAAAAAAAAATTGTTCTAATAGTACTATAGATGCGTCCATTCTTAGTCACATAATATACTTAATCTGTCCACTCAGCTCCCAGCTTACTTGGTTACACTCTGAACACACCCATCTTGAGTTCCGTGTCTCAAAAAATTATTTACACCACTGTTTATGAATATTATCATCATAATTATAATATTATTAATTATACAATAGTAATAAATAACAATAATAATGCACATGAAACTATTGGTACCTAGAGTAGGTTTTCGTAACAATTGAAATTTCGCAAAAAAAAAAAAAAAACTTTACAATGTTATACACCGGCTCCGGATAACGCTCGTCGACCTTCTGCGTTGGCATTTCAGTTTTTCCAGTGATTCGGATTTGACAGGCTCGCATTGTTTTATATAAAACGTTTTGGATGCCGGAAAACGGCGCACAATGTGAAAGCCGTACATACTAACAGCCTCAGGACACGGGAAACGGCCGAGACCTTGTACCCGCGTTGACGTTCTCTGCAGTGTATAAACGGCTATTATATTATTATAATAATTTTATAATCATTGTTATTTGTTGTTATTATTATAATTATTATTACTATAACACATTCTAAAATATTCACTGCCGACTTGTCCTCGGGTTATAGAGCGGCGGTAGTTTCATGATCGCGTCACGACAACGGCGTTTCAAATCATGGTTTATCTTTGGTACCTGTCCTATATAGGTTTAACTTTATATTTTTTTTTCATCGAATACTCAAACGACTTTATTATACTGAAATTGTAGTATAATGCAAAACCTACAAAATATTTGAAAAATATGTATAGCGATAGAAATAAAATGTGTCGTATAATATTATTTACCTAGTACCTACATAGTTTGTGTATCAACATTATTTAAATTTTAAAATACACGAGTATTATATAACGTGAATTTAAAATGATCTTACTTTTACAATATAAATTATTAGGATTAATGTAATCGACGACATTCGAAAATAAGTATACATACTTTTTTGGAGATTTTTACATGTACGAATTAGAATAACAAATATTTGTAATGGGCCGTCTCTTATGTGTAACCTATATTTCTGACTCCTTACAAAACCTGTAAGGGACATTACATTTTTTATTGGCAAATTACAAAGTCATACAACTTGAAATTTAAAAAAATGTATTTTGGCTATATTATATTTTTACTATTTTTATAGTTATATTAAGTGGTTTATTCAAGCTATTAATTTATTCTCAATTCTAAAATATTTATGAGCATGACGTTTATAACGAAGTATAGAATGTTTAGTTTCCTCGAAACAGAGCAGTTCACGCGTGATAACTATTCCAGATTAGTTTCAAAGAGTTTACGGCTTATAAAACAAGTAAAATATCCCTTATTATTACTATTGAGGATATGGAAAATTAGATATAGGATATATTATGTACCTAAGTTTCGGAGAAATCGAGGTGATACTACGTTTATTATTCGTTAGGGATTAAGCAGAACTCGTAGACTTTTAAACTGATTGCAGGCCACACAGTTAGTTATGTTCTAGACTTTTGGACTTTTGGTACAGAATGAGTACCATCGATATAAACTGCTCGTTAGCTGTCGTGTATTCGTTTCCCGCACGTTTTGTTTTACCAACTTTACGGAATAACGGCTGCGAATTACGTTTAATACTAATGCACATCGCGTTTATACGTAACGTGTAATAATGCACTTGTACGAAATATGTTGTTCTCAGGTAAAGATGGCGAGAATAACGCTAGCAATACTGATTTTGGGGTGCTGCACATGCGCCGTGTGGTCGGTAAACGATCGGTTGCGGGAAGTGTTTAGCTGGCGGCAATTGGACTTTACGTTCCCAGACCAGAAGACAAGGCAGGCGGCCATTGCCAGTGGCGAGTACGTGCAGGCGAACAACTTGCCACTGGGCCTGGAGGTGTGGCGGGACAAGTTGTTCATCACCGTGCCCCGGTGGAAGGCCGGAGTGGCGTCTACGCTCAACTATGTGTCCCTCGGATCGGGTAATTAATTATTTTATATTACGATAATCGATATCTTAGGTGCTGTAATGAAAAAACGAAATAATAATAATAATAATAATAATAATAATAATAATATTGATATGATTAATATAACGTCATGTACGCTAACCCGCGGCGTCAGACTGCGAGAGGGCTACGTGTGAATACGCGCGCGGTAATCGTACAACGATGACCACCGCCGCGCTTGACCCACATGACCCTAAGCCGTGACGCCGCAGTCTGTGTGCAACCGCGCACACGCATAAATCTATAATAATATTATCTGTCCATCACAGAAACGTCCTATACTTTCCGTTGCTTTTCTATCATGCATTTAATATTATATTTGATTGCCCATCATCGTGTGTACTACATTGCATGTTTGCGACCTTTGCGCCATGTCCGTTTGTCTTTGTATGGGCACCTACGTATGTATAATATAATATAATATATACGTACCACGCGTTATTAGTATAAAATAAAATAGGTGTTTATACTTCGGTGGCGGTCGGTTGAAAGCGGTTTATTATATAACGCCTGTTTTAATATAATAATATATTGTGCGTAATGATAATATTACGTAATCGTGTAATAATCAGTGTCCGATGATGCTGCCTATAGATAATATTTATTTTGAACAGGGGCAAAATCAATAATGTTTCAAATACTTATAGCGTGATTAGTAGTATCTATAAATAAAATTACACGCACAAATTAATTTGTCAGGAGTGGGGGGAGAGGAGCAAGTGATCGGTCTTGTACCACCAATGGGCGGCCATGATGGTAATGATAGATAACATATATGAGATACCCTTTCAATAAATTAAAATGTTAAATACGACCGTAATTTAATATGATCGCACAGTTTCACATTTTACACGCTGTTATGTAAATAAAATTAAAAATTATAATTTAAAAAAAAAATCGTCCAGTTATGAGTGTCCAAGTGCTATACACATTCGATTACATATAGCCAGATTAGGTAATCCACTCATAATCAAACTATAGGCAACGAAATATCCTATTGTTTTCGGATAGTTTCTTTTTGTTATCCTAATTTAATAAAAAAATGTATAAAATTATTTAGGCATATTTTAATACAATATGCGATGTACCGATGAATTAAAGCTACATTTGCAAGTGTGTGGGGTGCATGGTAATATGGTGTGTTGGTAGATATGGCGTAGAGCATTGAGCTTTTTGTTATGGGCATGAAAATTATGAGCACATACATATATATAGTATCGCGTTCGATTTCTATATATTTCAATAACGTTATGGTATTGCAAACGGTGGTGTAAACCAAACATACACGATATATTGTTACGGACGTTGGGCGTTCAGAAAACGGTCCTAGACTGAAAATATATTGCGAAACGGGAATGTATATAGTGTGCTAGTGTGCAGTGGATAATAATCAACGATAATATCATTGCGTAAAGGAGGTCGAAAACGTTTTTTGTGCGCGTCCGTTTTTTATTATTACACGCGACATATTTCTGATGCGGTAAGCTGCAGAACGTCAGTTGTTCCGTCCGCGGCAATTCGACTCGAACCACCGTAAATCGTGTCATTCTACGTTGGAGTAATCGGACGGGATCCAATAACAACGTCGTCGACGGATATTTCGTATACGAAAGTGATATTTGCAGAAGAAAAAAAAATCCGTATTATGCGTTCATCGTCGTAAAAACTAATAAAATGTGGCAACGCGCGAGTTACAAAATCGTTCTACGCTGACACACACGTACGCACATCGCACATGACGCGGTGTATCGTGTATAATACAACAATAATAATAATAATAATTATTATTATTATTATTGTATCGGTGTGTTCTCATGAAAAGTGAAAACGACGTCAGCGTGTATTCGTGTCGTAACTCCGTGTCCCGCATTCGACCAATGCCAAGCCGTTCAATATTCTCACACGTGTCTTGTAACTCGTTCGTATTTTGTCTTCAATAAAATTGATCCGAACCGCCCGCTAAAGAGTTGACGTACGACAAAAACGAATCGTCCTAATCGGTCCCGATTGTCGAACGGCTAATAAATACTACGGTGGTAGAAAATAATCCATTAGCGTGACTGCGCGTCTCGTCAAATTATCCGGCTAGCTCGTGCGGAAAAAAAAAAGATACTTACGCTTCGACTCCCGGTGGTTATGTATTACTATATTTCCCGGTTTGTTTGATTTTGCTTCCACTGTATTTAGTTTTAACCACGCCATTTAGATTAAAATGTATTTATGCAGTAAATTTAATATTAATTTTATCGATCAAATCCAAAAAAAAAAAACACGGAGAAGTGCGTTTTAATAGAAATAGATTTTTTACGCACACGTGGTCTGTAGAAACAGATTTTAATGCCGGTTAGTTATTAATCATTAATATCGACTGATCTTGCACAATATTTTGTAGTGTAATGAGTTAATATAGTAATCACTGTAGTTATTGATTTTGGTAGTTTTAAATAATACACGCTACGCAGCACTATTTATTTGCTAATGCTTGATTTAAGTGAATCGTTAAATTTCAGTTTATTTTATATGCAGAATAACAATGTAGTATGCATGGTGATAATTTGAATGTACAATACTAAGAAGACAAAACTAGTATTCGTAAGTATATTGAAATATTTAATTTAATATTTAATTTATATATGGCGTAGTTAAGGGAAATTAAAACATCGATTTAAGGGCTGCATCTGAGTTCCGTCCCGAGAACCTTTTTTTATACCAATTCCGTCCCGGTTAAAAAAATGACACATACCAATTCCGTCCCGGTTAAAAAAAAGACACATACCAATTCCGTCCCGGTTAAAAAAAAAAAGAAGAATTAAAATAATAATAAAATATAATATGTATAATATTGTTGTTATAAAATATTTACAAAAAAATATAGGTATTCATAATATTAGAGTACATCTTCATAATTTAATTATAATTAATCGTAATAATATAAATAATAAAAATCAATAAATATTAAACAGTTAGTTAGTCAAACAGGCATATTGTAATATAAAAATAAATATACTATTTTTAAATAGTCAAAATAAAAATATAATACATTTTTAAAAATTTGAAATTGGATTGAATTTAAAGGATATTTCTTTTACAAATTCCAATCGTGATATTTGACCTGAACTATATTTATACATTTTTTCTTTAATAAAATCTTCTTTAGCTAATATAGGGTTCCTTCGTTTTATGGTACTTCTTAATTTGATATAGGAATCTTGTTGTATATATTTTAAAGCTTCTATAAATTGATAAATATTTGGGTGGGCATGATAAAACATTCCATTGAATTTAGAATGAAATGATTCACAGTTATTTGTGGTACGGAAAGTACTATGCGAAAATTCAGCCCAGATACGAGGTGGAAAAGTAGATTCAGGTGAAATATAATTATCGACCAAGTAATCTAGAAATAAGTCTATTTTTCTATCAACTGGTTTGATTCCCATCATTTCGGACGCAAAAAAATCACCTACTTCATCTGGTGTTAAAAATGGCAATCCAAATATATACTTTAAAAATCTACCAATCTCAGAATTTTTATTCCTATAAAAAGTGGACAATTTTAGATCTTGAATTTTACGCCACCATGATTGACCTAAGTGAAATCGACATCCTCTTAAGTCTATTTCTGGCCAAACTGCATATACGGCATTATGTATAGCCTTTTCAAAATCTGCATAAATAGTTTTTGGTGTAAATTTTAACTGGAGATTATCAAATTCTGTTCTTAAAAATTTAAAAGCATGTTCATACGTGTTTTTAGTTTTGTCTGGCAGTAAAAAAAATACTAATGGAATATAATTATTTGAATCTTTTAATCCATGAATAGTAAAAAATTGTGTGAATTGTTTTGGGCAACATTTAAAGGTTCCATCAACATAAATAGTACTAATTTTACTTAAATGAGATAAGTTTGTATTGCAAGTAAACATAATAATGTGTGTAATTGGATCATTTATAATTAAAAAATTTTCGTCATTATTTGTATATATCGTCGTTTTTTTCAATAATTCATGAACGTCTTCAATGGATGTGGGTAACATTGATAATATGGAAGACCTTGCACGGTGAATATTTTTTCTAATTAAGTCTATATCATTAGAGGTAATTGTATTAACATCATGATTAGAAAGTTCTTTATGAATAAGTTTTGCTGGTTTTTCACAAATATCATCAACAGCTTTTCTTTTTAATTTATTATTAAGCTTTTGACGATTTAAATTAGTTTCATCAGTTCTATCATGGCTGTGATTTAAATTTTCAAAGACAATTCCTTTATTTTTTCCTAATGTAAAAAATTATTTTAAGTACCTATATGCCTTATTATAAAAACTTAATTATTATAAATTTAGTTATCTTACCAATTTTTATATATGCTTTACATTGTTTTTGAATACACTTCCAGCGTTCAATATTATTATTCAATTCTTTATGAAAACAAAATTTAAATTCATTTTTAATAATTAACATTTTACCTTTTTCACTGTACATAGTATCCATATTTAATAGTTATATTAAATGACACGTAAACGCACAAATAACGACTGAAAAGTTTATTTTGTTTCGTTAACTAAAATCTTATTATATATTATCTTTATTTCTATGTGATATGATATTGTTAAATTCAATTATTTAGTGCGATAACTGAAAATAATATTATCTTTATTTCTATATAATAGGATATTGTTAAATTCGATTATTTGGTGCAATAACTGAAATAAATATCATCTTTATTTCTAAAAGACTTGATGCAAGACAGAATTAGTATATTATCCATTAAGAAAAACCTGGGACGGAATTAGTATGTTCATTAAAAAAAGCTGGGACGGAACTAGTATACCTTTAATTTCAATTTTTATATATGGGACGGAACTCGGATGCAGCCGATTTAAGAGGTTAAAATAAAATAAATGGTTGTGGCTGAGTTTAAGGTAATATTTTTAAACATTTTAATTGAATAATATGAACTCCAACCGCGGGATGTAGTTTTAAATTACATTATATTTTGTAGAATTTTCTATAAAATAATAACTGTTGCTGCTGTTAAGTGCTATTTTATCTTATTTATATAAGCACACTTGTACTAAAATTCAATTTCTATGAATTCTCATCCGACCGTATAAAATATGGTGATATACATTTTCAGTGAAAATGTTAATTTAATTATACCTACGCGAAGTCACTTCTTTGCGTCTGTGTATTGATTTTACAGACTTGCACTCGTTAATATGTATGTAAAACTATACGTATATTATATTGAGTTGCTTATTTTTGTTTTTGCGTGCGCACAGAGATTTATAATCATATTATGCAAATTGTTATTCGACGATTTCATAACAGCGTCTACGTGTAATATTATTCGTAATGTATATACAAAATACACACACGCGCGCGCGCATATATTTATGTATGTACAATATGTATATATATATATATATATTATATTTATCACGAGGGATGAATCCTTATTTGATATTAACTTTATTACAGTTGCAAACATTATTGCTGAAAACCATTATGTTATTATATATAAACATATTTTATATTGATATAAACTATACACAATTTATACGCGAATACCTACATTCGTATATCACAAAGTTTTCTGTTTATTTTCAGAGCCGGAAAACCGATCGCCCAATCTGATTCCGTATCCAAGCTACGAACAGAACCGTTTGGCATCGAACTCGACAGATCGAATTGTGTCGGCGTTTCGCGTCAATGTCGACGTTTGCGACCGACTGTGGTTGGTCGACACCGGCTTGGAAGACGTGTGGGGCCAGGCCATATCCGTGCAGACGCCTAAACTCATGGTGTTCGACTTGAACACGGACACGCTGATTAGGCAGTACACGTTCAGAGACGAAGACATGAAACCCGACTCGTTCTTCGCCAACATCATTGCCGACACCACCAAAGACACATGCGACGACGCGTTCGCGTACGTACCGGACCTGGGCGGATACGGACTGGTCGTATACAGCTTCGCGACGAACACGTCGTGGAGGATCAAGCACCACTTCTTCCACTTCGACCCGCTGTCCGGCAACTTCCACGTGGGCGGCCAAAACTTCCAGTGGACCGATGGTATATTTGGCGTGGCCCTGTCTCCGGTCAAGGAGGACGGGTACAGGACGCTGTACTTCCATCCGCTGTCCAGTACCCGGGAGTTTTGCGTGTCTACGCACATCATCCAGAACGCCAGCCTCGCGTCGGATAGCTACTACGAGTACAAGATACTGGGGTCCAGGGGCCCGAACACCCAGGCCAGCGGGTCGTCGCTGGACGAGAACACCGGCGCGCTCTTCTACACCCAGATAAACAAGGACGGCGTGGGTTGCTGGAACTCGTTCCGGAATGCTGATGAGTATTCCGCCGACACCAACTACCTGGTGGCATCCGACAGCCAGACGCTAGAGTTCCCCAACGATCTCAAAGTGGACAAGACCGGAACGCTGTGGGTGCTCTCCGACAAACTGCCGCTGTACCTGTACAGGGGACTGGAAAACAACGAAACCAACTACAGGATCTTTAACGCCCCCGTCGTAGACGTCATTAAGGGTACCGTCTGTGACATTAAATAGTTATATTGACGGTACGTCATGGTACCGACTGCTATCATCTACTACATCGCTGGTTTCTCATACCTCACAAAATCCAGTACTTATTTTACACTATACATATCATTGAGAATAACAATTTAGTACACGTCGCGTCGTATTTTTATGTTATTTTATAATTTATTGAAATAGACATATTATACAGTATTATTATTTTGTATATTGATTTTTTTTCAATAAAAATGTTTTTGAACAGTTTGTGTGAATTTTTACCCATTTAATAAATCTTTATATTATTTTGTTGATTACAACGTAAGTATCTACTGTAATTATTATTATTAAAAAAAGTATTTGCAAATTTTTATTTCCGTGGATAAATTCAATTATTTTGACTGTGAAGAAAATTATACTTTATTTTTAACCGTTTACATTATTAATTGGTTATATTTTTTTTAATAAATATAAATCTATGTTATGTTTTGATGGATAAATAGCTGCAGTAATTTTATAGTTTTTTAATGATAAAAATCAGCGCATAATATAAGTTGAATGTTTAAATAGTTTAGAAAAAAAATAAAAACGATTTACATATGTACATATGTTAGATTCCTATACTAGTGAATTTCTGTGTCGTAAAGAAAATAAATATATTTATTATGTATTTATTCTAAAAAAAATTAAATTGTTAAATTAATTTTCCACTTAATTGTTGATAATTTAAATTATTTAATAATAGTACCTAGTTATTTTTATTTGTCTATGATTGTTTAATCGTATATTCGATTAATACTGATGTTTTTACATGTTAGTAATCATATCTAATATAAGAACGTACATCAACAAGTTTTAGTGACATTTTTTGAACAGCTATTTTAAAGATTATTTTTTAACAATAATTACTGATGACTAGTCTATAGGTGTAATGTGTATCGTTATCAAGTTAAAATTATAAATACTATTTATGTCAACTTACAAATTATTAAATGACGTATTGTTATTTAATTATCATTGTTATTACATAGCGAACACGAAGCTGCCAGAATACAAATTTAATTAAAACGAACTATTAGTAGTTAAAATATAAATTGTCAGGGGAAAAAAATTACACACATCTTAGCACGACGTTTTGGTTTTTATATTTTATATTTATAACAACGGTTGCTTTTCCAGAAAAATTACCCAAATCCAAGACGCATTGTTAAAAACACAATACGTCTTATCGAACCGACTGCCGTCTTCCTAAATCGTTCATCTGTTTTTTTTTTTGTATTCATATTTTAGTAACGATTGCCTTTATATAGTCTATATGCATTTTATAGGTTCAAATCAAAACCGTTCGCCACGGCTGGTGCCTTACCCGAACTACGCGATGAACCGACTGCCGTCTTCCGGTCAACGGATCACCGACCGGATCATCAACACGTACCGACTGAGCATAGACGTGTGCGACCGCTTGTGGGTAATCGACATGGGAATCGCGAACGGCACGAAGCTCGGCCAACCGCAACTGTTCGTCATCGACCTGAACACCGACCGGGTCGTTCGACAGTATGTCGTTACCGCGAACTTGTTGCGCGTGGACGGCAACTCCTGGTTCCCGGGCCTGGTGGCGGACGCGGATTGGAAGTCGTGCGACCGCGCGTACGCTTATTTGCCGGACATTGGCGGCGGCCTGTTGGTGTACGACTACCGGCGCAACACAGCTAGACGGATTGAACACCACTACTTCTACTTCGACCCGTTGGCCACCGTGTTCAACATCGGCGGTGTCCGCATCGAGTGGCCGGACGGTATGTTCGGTGTGGGCCTGTCCGAACGCCATCCGGACGGCTACCGGACGCTCTACTTCCAGGCCATGTCCAGTACCAGGATGTTCTCGGTGAACACGAGCGTCCTGCAGTCGAACAGGAGCCTCTCGGACACGTTCCAGGAGTACCGGCACCACGGCCATCGAGCCGCCGGAATGCAGGCCGGCCCCATGTCCATGGACCAGGTCACCGGAACCGTTTTCTACGCGCTCGTCAACCAGGACGCGATAGGCTGCTGGAACCCGAGACGGCACGAACGGCTGTCCGGCGACACGTCGGCTGTGCTGGTGCAGGACTCCGAGACACTCGAGTTCCCGGCCGACATCAAGGTGGACATGGACTCCAACCTGTGGGTGCTCAGCGACAGGATGCCCCGGTTCCGGTTCCAGGTGCTCAACTTTGACCTGAACGACGTCAATTACCGTGTGTTTAGGGCGCCCGTCGCCGACGTCGTCCGTGACACGGTTTGTGAATCGCAGTTGAACGGAAATCGGCTGTTATCCAGTTCCGAAAATCAATCGCGACCACGGCCCATCACCTCCTCTAACATGGGATGGAACACGCCGAGTGACAAGAGAAGCGACTTTGATTAGGGTTAAATTAGCCATATAATGGTGCACGCACGCGTGTACCAGTATTTAATGCACATTTTATTATTTATTATTATTTATATTACTTGACGAAATAATGTTTTAAGTGTCATCGGGACTGACCAATGATGGATTTTGTGATTTTATTTTTATAATTGTTTACCGTTTAGCATGTTTACCTGTTTACAATGCTTTAAAACTGTGAACTCTTTTTTAGTTCTAGTTAAATATTATATTTAATGTTGTGATCAATGCGTCATGGAAAATAAATTAAACGCAGTAATTTTATTAACATGAAACGGGGTTACGTTGTGTTATGAAAGTAGATAGTAAATCAATGGTAAATTAATGTTATTATTTATAGTCTCTGGGCGCAAATATAAAATATGTAAGCTTGAAAATTAAAACAAACAACAAAACAGACTACCCACGTACTATAAACTCTATTGTACTGATACACAAAGAATTTGAATGCATGCAAAATATTGCAATTATATTATTCGCGAATTTATCGACCAAATCATAACTTTTTATATCTGTCATAGTAATAATTTTACCTGCGTGAACATGATCGATTAAGCGAATGAAAATGATAAAGCCAAATCTAATGACGATCTGAATATAGGAAACAAAACTGCTGCTAGTGTTTAATTAGAATGATGAAAGTGAAAGGCTGGTTAAAGTGCCTGAGATTTTTTATTAAAAATTTAAAACTAAATAATCTGTAAAAGTTATTATGATGGTATATAGTTGTATAAAAAGTGTTATGAAAAATTTACCGATTTAAAGTAAGTAGATCATAGAATAGCTTTAGAGTTAAAAATTAACACGAGATGACGAACTCATGATCGATGATACACGACTAATATGTTTTATTATATTAATAATTATGATTTTAATTCAAACTTTTTATACTTAAATGCCAAGTTAAGATTTAATGGAATAGAATATGTGTCGACGTTTATTTGATAATCATTTTGAGAAGAAACATTTGCTAAAGATAGCGTAATTGTTTTTTAAGGTTATTCATCTAATAACTGTTATTTTAAGCCATTTAGATAAGTAAAATATTATGGTTTAATATTTATCTTGATAATGCTGATTTCATTAAAGTAATGAATGACAGCTAAAGCTAACTAGTTAATTTGTTTAATAGAAATGCTTATTATCTTTCCAAAAAAAGAAAAAGAAAATTTTATTATAAAATATTTCTTTGATTAAATATTTAAATATATACAAAATTATTTCTTAAGAAGAAGAAAAACTGTTGGAATTCGTTTTAGATTTAAGAAGTCATTTGAACAACAGAAGTGGGAATTTCAAGCGTACTTACCATATGAATTGTTATTATTTATTGATTTATTGGTTAAAGTAAAAGCATTAAAAATTCGCGCATTTATGGTATATACTATATACATTATACAGACAACAAAATAAAAACGGTATCTTCTGTTTTTTTTTTTTTTTTTTTTTTTATTATGTTTATGTTAGTTCTCTTTTTAGACGTATTAATGTAATATATATATATATATATATATATATGTAATCCACTCTTATCGTATGTACTTATTGCGCCTATTAGGTATAGATTGTACATTTCAAATAAAGAAAAAAAAATCTTCTGTTTTTAGGAATTGCGTGATCTGAGTAAGCTGCATACCTAGTGCATATATTTATCAAATATAAAATGTATCGAATAAACATGCACTATATATTGTAATTTTTATTTTCGACAAATATTATGTTTAGGTACTCGTGTATTTAATGTTAGTAGGTAACTGATTAACTGATATAGTGATAGTGATAATATGTGTTGTTTGTTTTTGACACAGGAGTATTGATTTAAGACAATATTATAAATAATATATGCATATTAAAATATATACATATATTATAGAAAAAAAAAATTAAAAAGTTTTAATATATATTGATATAATTATATAAATACATTTTGATAAATTTTTACTTTCATTTTTAATCATTTCCAATTTATTTTAATTTGACAATATAATAATATCAAACCATAATTTTATACTTAAGGTTACGGTAAATGTGGAATGAGCCTATTTAAATACCTACTGTTATAAAGAGAGATCAATACAATCAGTTGAGTATTGATAAACTTAAAATTTATTGAAAATTGAAATAATAAAAATAGATTATTAATACAGTAAGTTATACTTATGATTTTCAAAATCTTAAATTTTATTTTTTGTTTCTGTTGAATGTAAATTGAATGATACTACAGTCTACAGATCAACCCGATAATAACAAATATAGGTTATGTTATGTGTAAATAAAACTCACGTAATCTAGTGTTCAACTTATCTATTTTCAAATATAGTATTATAATATGAGAGAAGTTACTTAAGCATAGTCGTATGTAAATATATAGAAGTTCACGACTACGCATAAATAATACTTATGTACATTTAATATCTCTTGGGACTCCGACTCGCTAAATTACTACGCACCTCGATGATTTATTATCATTAATGTTGATGTTACTTCAATTACTAAGATAACAAGATCAACAAAATATATAAAAGTACCTATTCAAATAAATAGTATTCGTTACTTCTGTCATATATGTCAACGAAAATAGTATCATTTGAATGTTGAACTGTTTTTTTTTTTTTAAGTTTTAATGTATTCTTAATATTTTTTAGTTGTAAGAAATCGGTTTTAATACATTTTATAGAAGTTTTCATATTTTGTAACTATTTTTTTTAAAACGGTCAGCTTACAACCCTCTTATACTTGATACTGTATTGACTAATGTTATAGGCGAAAGTTTGAAACTCAATAATTTTATTAGTTTTGTCAATATACGTGTTTTAAATGGTGTATCAGTGAAGATCCAATAGAAGATGTGCCAAGTCCAGTGTCTATTTCTTAGAAATAATTTTTGTTTTTGAGTTACACACTTTCTTTACATCATAAATTTAAAATTTATATATTTTAAGCATACGAATTTAGAACAGCTCAAAAATAATTAAATATAAAGGCACTTACCTTTAACAATAAATCAATAAAAAATAATAGTGATTAGAGTTACTTTGTTTAACGTAAAAATTTAAAAATGAATATAAATGACTATGTATGTGAGTGTGTGTGTAAGCAATCTACAGTCAAGTATCGTAGTTTTGAAATTTTGTACATAGGTAAATCTGTTACCAAAGAATGTATACCTCGTGGTCAATTTTAAATAGGATTTTACACTGGGTTTTTTTGGCATATGAAAAATGAATATTTGTTTGTTTGTACAGGGTCAACATTAGTAGTATAAATAAAATAAAATAAAATAGTAATTACATTTAATAGAGTTTAAGAAAGTCAGATAATTTATCATGGGCAACTCTATATAGGATCAGCTAGTATTCGCATGTAATATAAAATATATATATTCGGGGCCGATTAACTCGGGTCAACGATTACTTAGATGGTTTATGTCATAATTCCACCAATATGTTGATCAATGATTACAAAAGTTGTTGTTTAAAGTTATAAATGATTATAATTTTAAAATTAGGCTGCAATTCATTATTTTGTATTTTGGGATATGCTGAATATTTTTGTTAAACAATTTTTTTGTACAATTGTTTGGCAATATTCATTTTATTTTTAAGAAAAACTTGACGGTAAGAAAATATCTTGGTATTTGTTATTTAGATTTTAGGCCTTGTACGAGTAGTTCTTTATAGTCCTATTTAGAAACCTAGATTTCGCAGATGGCCTCTCGTCCGTATTTTCTGTATTTATAATATTTACACGAATTTCGGGAAATGGAGCTCTTTTTCATCATTTGCATAGCCGTATTGAGATTTTATTTAAAATGTGGCTAAACAATTTTTCAGTAGGCCAACAAAGGCTTATTCACTCTTGATTGAAGCTTTTGATAATAATTATTTTAGATAGGTATACATACCTTTTTTGTATACTTACATTAGTTATAATTAAAATTAAATTCATCTGTTATTTATATCGATTAAAATAAATTTATCTTTTAGACAAGTATCCACTTACTTATATTTATCTTCATTCAGATTTATGCAATAGCATTATGAAAATGTCTTTTTTCCACTACCGAGTTTCAATACTATTTATAGTTATGTTGACATATTAATATATTATGTTTACTACCGGCATAAACAACTAAAATGTCTTAGGCACTGTTGATTTATTGGTTTATTTTAGAAATTAAATTGTTGTACTTATACATAATTATAAAGAGTCGACCGCCACACCATAACTAGGTACAACTTAGAATATGCTGAAACTTACACTAAAAAATATTATTATCACCTTGTCCGTCTTGTCGTGATAAAGTTAGTAATGATAAATGATAATAAATTCGAGATGTTTAAACGGTTGCTTTGTGCGGAGAAGAAAAATTCATCATTTAACCAAGAACTCTATAACTTGGTGAGAATTAGAGTTCTAACAGGAACCGTTAGTCGCTGTATAGTGGACTTAGGTAGGTACGTACACAAATAAATAAATGTAAAACTTTGTAACATTGTCTACATGTCATAATGTATTTTAACTGGTTATAGTCATGTTACATAATAATAGTATACAATATTATTATTTTAATACATACAATATAAATAAAAAAACATACTCAAGAAATAACAACCTCTCTTTTTGAGGCTTTAGATATATAAATATTATTGTTTAAAATTATCTTTTTTTATTTATACACATCATTTTTTTTTTTAAATATATATAAAAACATGTTTAACGATTTACTTCTTAATTATTCTTTGTACACAGTTGTTATTAAATATTTTGTTTTTATTTTACACACCAAATACGGTGTTATGTTTTCCATGTTTTATGAGCAACAAATTTAAACAAAGAACAGTTATCTCAAACCAATTCGCTAATTTATCTAAAATAATTGATTACTTACTTAGTTAATACATTTTAACCTACAATTAATGATGTCACAATCTAATTAATCAATAATTTAAAATTATTAATTTTTTATTATTTATTTCTTAAAGTCATTTTTTTAAGGTTTTGTTATTTCCTTAACCTATTTTTATGTAAAACTAATTTACAAAAATCACTAGTAAATTTGTCAGACACTAAAATTGTTTTTGCACATATACTTAATATAAGTACCTACAAAAAATTGATTTTATTAAATCAATTTTAACTATGAATATTAACATTAATCACTTAGATACACATTTTCCTTAGAGCTGAAATTTTTGCCGTTAAGCTTGGAACTTTTACTTTCTCATATATTAATGTATTATTCTAAATGGTGTTTTTAAAGGATTTTGTTTTTAGATAGGTAAATTTTATAAAATATATTAAAGTGTTTGTACTAATTCATAGTTTAATATTTATAACTTATGGTTAATCTGGTTATTTTGAAATTTTTGAAATTTTGTACTCCTTTAAGGTGAACAATAACAGATTTAAATATTGTTAATGGATATATATTATAGCTGGCGAATCAAATATTATGTGACAGTTAATAAATACTTAAGATTTAGTACTATAGTACAGTAATATTTATTTTCACTTATCTAATTTAACAAAAATGTAATAAAAATCAATTAAGTTTAAAAATAATAAAATTCACTTTCATGCGTTTTGATAAAGAAAATTGGAAGTACAATTTTATTTGGTGTTTTGTAATGATTCATATTTCAATATAGTTGAGAAATACGTTATTATTTGTTATTAATTATTACTCATTAAATTTGAATGGTATTAATACTAAAATTAATTGATAATATTATAAAATGTGAATTTATATTTTTTTGGCTTACAACAAATTATCCGAAAAAAAAAGTTATGTAAGTATTTAAAATGAATATTCCCATCACTAGTTATTTTCAATACATTTTTAATTTTACAAACCTAACTTAAATTGTTTTAAGAAAAAAAAAAATTAACTCAAAGTCAAATCACTTAATAAAATATTATTGTAATTTTTAATTCAATATGTTATTAAAAATGATTGTATGTCCATTTTCAATACGATTCGATTAAAACATAATTTATGGTAATTGTTTTACCAAAAGAAAAATGGAAAATAATTTGTTTACTTATGCAGTACAAATAATAATAATTATTGATTTATTTTATTTCTGTTCATTAATAGTTTGGGAAAAGCTATATTATAAGTATTTCGATATATTTTTTTTTTAAATAATAATATAAATAATAATAATTGACTATTGATTTGTCAATAAATTTCTATGTTTACATGGATTTTTAGTTGATTTGTAAAAAAAAAAAAAAAAAAAAATAGACAACGGAATGTATCTAGTTCATTGATAAAGTTATCAATTGGATTATAAATATTTTGAGCAATTATGCTGAATTATAAAAATGATTTCCGGAATAGAAACGAATTTTAAACTAGTAAAGCATTATTCTTATATAGTTTAAAATATTTTGAAATAATATTAAGTGTTATGGCTAATTTATAAATGAAAAAATTTTGGACTTTTAAAGAGTATTTACTATACTAAAAATCAATGACATTGATAAAAAAATCACATCATTCTTATACCTATTGATTTTGTTCAGTGGCTCTAAATCGGAAATATTATATGATGATAGAGAATTCAATCCTGTGTTTTTAATTTAAAATTGATACTGTAGTTTATTAAAATTCCTGATATTCTATTTATAATAACTAAAATTTTAACATAAATTTAAGTTTATTAGTACTTATAAGAAATATAAAACAAAGAAAAAAGTAAAACTTTAATGAGAATATAATGGCAACAAATATTATTCACAAAATCAAAAAGAAATTAAAAATAATATTTTAAAACAAAAATTATATCATAACTATGATAGTCATATATTTAGTAATTACTTTAAAATAATTAGTTATTTTTTTTTTTTTTTTGAATAATGACGTTTGTATTTGAAGTATAATCAAGTATTCAGTAAAAAAAAAAAAAATCTTGTTAAACATTTTAATCAAATTAGTACAGTTAATGACATTTATTATATATTATTGTTTTAATTTAATTTAAAGTGTATCACAGTGTAAATACAAATTGAATGAAACATTATTTTAATGTTTAATTAATCATAACTGATAAGTTTAATGTAAATTAATTTATAATTAGGAGTTTTAATAATTTTTGGATTCTACTAAAAAAGTAATTATAAATGCCTAGATAGTATAAATTTAATAGTAAAACACTTGGTGATGAATGACATATATATATATAATATATAAAAAAAATGAACACATTTTTATCCCATATATCCCAATTCAATTAAGTTATTAATAAATATGTTATTATGTTTATCCTTACTTTTTACAATATTTAATAATTTAGTGAATCTATTAAATGTTTCCATCAATATCTATAGAAATACATTTGAAATAAATTATACATTTTCATATTTGTTATAAATGAAAATTATAATCAATAAATATAAGAACATAAGATCTACATAAGATCTGATAGGATCATAATTTTTAGTGAATAATATTAACTTAAATTATTGTGGTAACGATAAAATATACTATAAAATGTTTAAACAAGCTCATTAGCGATATAGCTGGTAGATAAATAATATTATTGATTATTTATATTTTATTATTCATAATAAAGTTATAACACTTAAAAAAAAATATTTTTATAAAAATTAAATAAATATTATTAATATTTATTTTTCTATATTAATTAAAGCTTAGAAGTCTTAACTAAACATCGAAACAACAAGTTTTACTTTCCCATTAGATATTATACTTATAAATATGTTTTTTTTTTTTATATTATGTATGGAAAAAATGTAATTCACCACCAGACTATCTTATCAACCTAATACTACAAAACGTAGTGACTTATGATGAAACAATTTTGAGAATTAAATATTGGCATTATAGTTTTTTATTTATATTAATGTGTATCTATAAAAATTCCTAAGCTGACGTAACATGATATAATATCAATCATATAGGTTTAATATAATGTATGGCGATTTACGATCCTTTAATGGTGCCTCTAAACAATGCCTATATTAAGGAGCTAACGACTTGGTGTAATTTCCCTTAAAATAATTATCAAAACTTTTAATTTTTTTCTATATTCAACGGATAATTATTATTATGTTTTTTTTTTTATTTTTGTTGTTTCTCACAGACTGTACTTGGGTATATAAAATAATAGGTTCCTATTTATTAAACTTATTATCTAATGTATATTACAAGATACTTTGTTGTATTTGCGTTTTAAGATTAAAAAAAAAAAAAAAATTATCTCATTCACTCATTCATATTAAAAATAATCATTAATGTTATTAATTATTGGATCAATGTGAAATAAAACAACCTTTCTTATATTGTTTTTACTGAAGAGAAAATAATACCAGAAAGACAATTTCACATAATTAACATACTCTAAGATATTCTACTTAGGATTTAGGTTTAGTAGAGTTGTGAAAGTTATATTATCTAATAGGTATATACTATATATAAACACAGGCTAATTTTTAAGCCTACTTAATATGTTAAATAAAATTAATGGTTAGTTTAGTATATATTATAACTTTTTGGGTATTTTAAAATTACCCGAGATCGTGTATCATCTGTCAATATCCACCAACGATTAGTATCAAACAATTTTCTGAACATAATATAACGTTACAGATTTTTAAATGTTAGAATTGCGAGTGTTAAAAATAATTCACAATAAAAACTTTTAACATGTATAGAAGAGCTTATCTAAACAAATAAATTTGTTGAAGAATCTAATTTAACATTTGTAATGTTTGAACCCTCGCATAATGTATATTATTATGAATGAAAATTTTTTATAATAATAATTTTAGATATTCAAAATAACCATAATTTAAAATTATATTTAAGTTATAAAACTTAAAAATTATTATGGGCAGTAGTGATAATTTTATAGTACTAGATAATAATAAAAATAATAAAAAACATTTTGATTAAATTGTTAAATAATCAATAAAAAAATAATTGAAATGATTAGATAAATAAACAATTTTTTTTGTAACTATTCCGTTAAAAGTTATTGTACACAAAAAAAAAAAAAATCTATAAATAATATTAAAAATAAAAACAGGGTGTATTTTGGATGATTAAAATTAAAACACTGTAATTTAATTATTTAGAAGGACTCATTCTTGGCCCATGATCTTTTTAACACCCTGTAAATGCGTTGTGTATCATAGAATTTTTTTCTAAGCTCTTCATCGATTTTTTTACGGTATTATAAAAAAAAACTTCTATTTTTATATTTCAAAACAACTCATACACTCTGAAATAAATATTTAACAAATTCATGACTACCATATGGACATCCAAGAAGTGAATACAATGTCTAAGTCACTCAACAATTATATGAGGCGCTGAATACATTACGGCAACAGTAGCGACTAGTGTGAAAAAAGTGAACACTATCAAACAGAATCTGTCTACTACCATCGCTGCGTATTTCCAGTCGTTGATTACTTCTTGGTCATCCTGTTGCTTTCGCATGTGATCAGTGATATATCGTACTTCTTGTAGTATTAGTTGCAATTCTCTAGCCGAGTAGGTGCAGACGCTTCTTGACTCAGACGCCGTTGAAGAAGAACTGGCAGCTCCATTGTTGTATACGCGGTGTGAGAGGACACTTGCTCGAAAATCATCATCTGTGTAATTATAATTAATGAAATATTAGAAATGAACGATACAACTATTTATGGCAAGTAATGATTAAAATCGCAAAGAAAATGAGAAATTGTCTACTCTGTGTAATGGACAATTATTTTTCATTAGCTTAATTAACAAATTCCATTTTGGTATTTATCTACTATATTGTAATATACAAGGAGTACATTAAAAAATAAAATTAAACAATAAGAAGAGTTTTCATGTAATAAAATGCTATAAATATATAAATCATTGTATTTGAAAAATAAATTCGAAAGGACCATGTCTCATGGTTTACTCTTTCAGGATTTCATTAAAAACAGGTCATTAACAAAACTATATCTTCGTATTTATCGAATGTTCGTAAATACTTAAATTAAAAATATTTGACAATTGAAAATTCAAAAAAAAATAATTCTTTAAAATTCACATTTATTCAAATCTTAATGAAAAATGTTAATTTTTTTAACTCCAAAAACGGTTTTTTAGTTCATAATAAAAGCATACACAATATTGTTGCTAATTCAACAGATTAAGAATTTAAAATAATCACTTTTGTATAGCTAAATCATGTAACCATGATGTCATAAATAATAGTATCTAAAAATGGTACACTTCAATATAAAGATGTATTCAAAGAAAATGAATGGACTTTGTGTTTCACAATGAAACAATATTGAAAACATTTATGAAATAAAAAAAGTGTAAAAAAAATTTATATACATAAGAAATGTCGCCAAAAATTAAGCAAGTTAGTTATACGTAAAGGATAAATACGTTATTATAAAGTAAAGAAAATTTTTTTATCGAATTTTGAAATTGTTGATATTAAAAAATGTTAACTTTTAAAATTACTTAGAATATAATATTTTATACTATACTAGCTGATCCGTCACGGCTTCGCCCGTGATTGGCTGTTTATTTTGACTTGTATTTTGATATGTAGAATTTTTTAGAATTCAAATTTTATCGTTTAATAATGTGATTGGCAAGTAAATATAAAAAACGGTTAATGAAAACGTATTGAAATGTTTCTAGCAGAATTAAGTATTTGGTATAATTTTTTGAAAAAAAAATTGGAAAAATGTTAAATAGTGTCGTTAAAAAATCGGAATATTGAAATACAATACATCCCTTTCCCTCCCCTCGTCACCCCTCCAGACAAAAAAAAAAAAAATTAAAAATTGGGTGATGTGTTGACATTCAGTAGGGTATTTGAAACAACTCTATGAAAAAAAAAAAAAATGGTGACAACACCAACATAGGAACATAAAAAAGGCCTATTCTTGCGGACCTCGCAGAGAGGCTCCAAAAATTAGCATTGTTTTTTAATTTTTCAAGAATTTTATCGTTAACTTTTGAGTTAATTAAATTTTATCATAAAATAATATGAATAAATGCATGGTATAAATAGATAGATAATATTTTCAAAACAATTTAGATATTATTAAAACTTCATTCCGTATATTTATAACAAGTCTTAAAACATGAGTGTTTTAATGGTAACCATAGTTACAAAACAATAATTAAAAAAAAAAATATCGGGTATGCGTCAAAATTCAAATTTTTCTTAATTTCATTAATTTTTTTTATTAACAAATGTTGTACTAAAACTTCCAACAGACTATCCGGTAATTACTAATAGTAACAAGTCTTAGCAAAATCGGTTCAATAGTTTTCTTGATTAACGCGGTCGTAGAAAAATTCTTTACAATTTTAAATAGTACCTAGTATAGATAGATTTTATATTAATTGATAGATATAAAATCACACAAAACTTCTGTCAATAGACATAATGCGATATATAGGCACAATTTCTATGTTATAACTTATAATCTTAGAGGTTGCACACATTTAGACTAGATTAGCATAAAAAGACCTGTCGAGGAATCAAATAAAACAATCCTGTGTTATCATTTATTACACTATTATAATTATAATTTAAAGTGTCTATCAGAAAATATAAACTTATTTAATATATTTTCATTTGATAATTTTCTCGATAACTCTCTTTTAATATATGATTATATAATAACTCTGTCAACTTATTCTGACTGATTTCCTAAGTTTAAAGGTATCTTGAAGTCAGTTATTGATTTTTTTTCATAGCCGAAAATAACTATTCACAGGTGACTGAACTTACCGAAATTGTTCATGATAGTGATAAAAGCTTATAAAAGTTAGTATAAACTTAACCATTCATAATAAAGTTAAAATTATTGAAAGTAAAATTAGGATTACTACTAAACAAACAGTAATTTGCTATCGTAATTTATTTTATTGATTGGTAGGTATCTAATAATAAATTATTCTAGTAAATTATCATTTGTTTAAATGCAAAATATTATTGAATTTAAAAAAATATGTACTTTTAAAGTAAAAAGTTATTTCATAAGAATTCATAATTAATTTTTAGAATTTTAATTGGATTTCCGCGTAATTTTTTTGAAGGATTAATTTTAAAGTTGAAAGAACTTAATTCTTTACTCCTATAAATGTCACCATAGGTTCCATATAGTGGTTTAATTAAGTCGACGAGACAAATTAATAAAGTTTATGTTTATAAATATATCTTGTTATTATTATATTTGTATAAGGCATATTTTTAAAGATTAAATAATATATTTTTTTCTTAAGTTCTTGCATTAGTAGATAATTTTATAAAAATATTTTAAATTAATCAATTATAATTATTTTTGTTATTTGAAAGCAAATATAGACTAATAATGGTCTGGTTGATTCATTATAATTTGAAGGAAAGGCATATTTGCCAATACAAGATAATTATATTCTAGTTTAATTTTAAAGAATCGTTATTCAATACTTTACTCTGGTCAAATTTCGAGTAGGTACTTATATTAAATATTATGAAAATTTGTAACTAAATATTAAAAAATAGAACTGACGAAGATTTAATTATTTTAACAATGCCTTAATTATCTATTAATGGTTGTTCTACGTCATCAGGCAATTAAATATCAAATTAAGTATAATATAATAAGTTAGATTAGTAATAATAGCATTTTACCTCATATACGCAACGTAGGAACCTTTAAAATAGACTCATTATTAATTATTGAGAACACAGAATAATAAAATACCTCAATCGGCGATCGCGTTTAACCTAAATCCTAATATAGTTATACAGTATTATGTTATATTATGGCTAGTGTATCCACGTGAGATTATGAACTAAACCGAAATGTTTAATATTTAAAGTCAAAAACAAAGGACGACGACGGAAAACCGAGGTATATTATATTATAATGCCGAAACAGGGTATCGCAAAGGTAGATACGAATATACCAGCAGTGGGGTCTAAGTAATATAATAAGACCACAACAAACTCGTGACACGTGTCAATGTAATATTATATATAATACAATATAATATAGCTTATACCTATAGTATTCTAATATGCTACCTACGTGTACGTGCACGGCTAGCTCACGAGATGTGAGCAAATATTTGTATTACAAACGGCGATATTAAATTTGGCAAGTCGTGAATGTAATAATGTATGTAAATATTATACTTGGCGAAATGGGAGGTTGAGTATGATATACTTTATAATATTATAGTGTTAGAAGTTTTAATTATTGTAACCCGGCTTTAGACTATATATAAATATATATACATATGTGTGTGTGTGTGTGTGTGTATATGTAAGACAACAGGTGCGAAATACGTACGTTTCCGAATTAATCGAAAATGACGTGGACCACAATTATAATATGACTTTGTAAAATTTTTCCGACAACAAAGACCGCAACCGTGTCGCACACAGTGTGAGACATAAAGTTTGTACGTCGGCAGAATTTCGTGTCAACGTCAAATTATATTAGGTGCAGCGCTCGGATCTGACGTCGAGTACACGCTCTTTAGAGCGATGATTTTAATACGAAACAAAATTCTTATAATTTCAGTAAATTGTAGCATTTATTTTCTAAAGACCACTAATTGTAAATTCAGTGTTTTTAATTTTAAAATATGAAATAAAATACTAAGAATTCCATTTATAACTACTATCGATTTTTATGTTAAACAGTAGCAATAACAATTGATAATATTATGCTTAGATATATCTCAGACGGTTCAAAAAAATTTGTTTAGTATTCAAAGTATTTTTCTAAACTCATGTTGATCTTTTAATCTTGACTTTAAAACTAAAATTTACCGAACGATAATGAGTTAATGTTTTAATTTAAATTATTGAATTTTCAACAATTATGTAATAACTTTATAAATTCCCTTGAGATTTCGAATATTTATATTTTATTTACAGTATGACTAATGGCTTTAAAGAATGGTGGGCTAAATTTTAAATAACTTATTGAATAGTTAAAACTAAATTTTTTAGTTAAAAATTTTTTAAATAAATAATAGAAATTTCAAAACTGATGTAATTTGTTTAAATTCAATGATTTAAATTTAATCTGACTCGTCATTCAGTCAATTTTAGTCTTAGAGAATAGGATAAAAGGTCAAAATGACTTTAAAAAATCGGGTTATCCAAATTCAGTGTTGAAAATAGCTGTAGCTATTTAAAAAAATACAATTGTTTTATGTATGCGCAAACTAGAAGGGCTAAATATTTTAAAAACCTAAAAATATATGTATTTATATAGAATTCAAAGCTGATTTTTGGTATATAATTGTTTTAATCTAAGCAGAATAAAGATAGTCTTTTTAATAATTTGTTGGTGATCCACCTGTTAAAATTCTCACACCTCGAGGTTTACTGTAAAGTTTATTGGAAGTATAATTTATGTTGGACATTAAAAAATTAAATCAAACTTGGTATACAGGTATACATATAATTTATGTCAAATATTTTTAGTTTGTTTAAAGTGCGTAGATGTATGCATTTAAGATATATGATATTCTACGATCTGGACAATAAAAGATATATAAGTTGTACTTATAGAAATCAAAAATATCAAAAATGCATTGTAACAACTTTTTTTTTTTTTACAAGCATTTGAGATGTTCACATTTTATTGAAAAAAGAAAATTTGCCAATTATTTTATAATTCTAAACCCATGTAATTTTTAATTTTTACAGTTAAGAATTTAAAATTGATTTTTACAAGATTTTACATAACTCATAAATTCCCTTTCCAACCGATGTACCGAAATAATTTTATAGTTGTAACAGTGACAAATCAAACATGATATTTTTGTATGCGAGATATCTCTCTAGTAACAGTTATCAGTATATATATATATATATATGCATTAGTGGATTAGTCTTTTCAATGTATTTATTTATTTAATTACACTTATTAATTATATTATGGTCTGGAGAGTCACTTAAAATTGGAAGTGTTAATACTAATTAAGTTGTAAAAATGTTCGTGAAAAAAAATCTTTAAATCTCGTAGAGCGACACACTTTATTAATGGAATTTATTAAGGTTTTTGGTCTTCCGCTAGTATTTATTTTTCTTCAGCGTCATAATGCTGAATATCACAACTCTCGTATAGTTTGTGAAGAAGTTTTATAAGATTTTCAAAATTAAAATATGCATAATAAAATTGCACATATTATTTTTTAGCACTTAAGCTGTAATTCATAAATACCTTCAAAAGCTTTAAAAGCATCCAAAAGGCAACTAATAAACTTGAACAAAGCTTTTCTACTTATTTTAAATGCTTCTTTTGCAAAAAAATATGTCTTTATAATTTCCATTTTATTTTAATGATGTAAGATTTTTATTGAAACTTTCTCTTTTTTCGTTTCATTTAATTATGTACTTAATAAAATTATTTTAAATTATAATTTACGTTTTCATTTTAAAGTTATCAATGATCTTGTCAGTTTGATTATATTTTCATCTAATACTATATTTCCTACTAAAATTTTTGTGTCTACTTCAAGTGTTTTTTTTTTTTTTAGCGAAAATAGCTAAATGATAAATTTAAAAATATATGTGAAATTATTATCACGGTTATGAAAGTTGTGTTTCTATAGATATAATTATACTTCATATTATTATTGAAAATGTGATTAACATGGTGTTTATAATTATAAATATATTTCGAAAATTACAAACATTATAACATATGACCTTCCTAATCAAAACCTTAATATTATTATATTTTTGAGTCTGTAGTTTTATCGTATGGTCATACTAAACTTCAAACTCATGTCTACTCATCTATTAATCGTGTATTTGGTATTATATAAAAACATATAGGCAAAATATAAAAATTTAACCAAAATTTAAACAAAGAAATTGTATTGTTCTTAATATTTTATAGTTACTATATGTATAACTAATTCATATAAATGTAAGTGATATTGATGCTATATATATATATATTTTATATAGATTACATTATTTTGAATTTATCTTTTAACTTATAGTTTAATTTTGTTTTTTTGTTTATTGTGTTAACATCAACTTTTTGATTTGACACTTGTATACGTATTATATATGTGATCGTGTTAAATACGCGTTGTATTAGGTAAATATTTTCAATTAATAAATTATGAAATTAAAACTAAAATATTTTACAATATATTAATGTAACAACTACTTTACCGATATCAAGAACGTTGGCTAATAAACTTCTTGATGATCGCTCTCGGAGTTCTATGCCTTTTCGATCTGTATATCTACTTCTGATGGCTTTGAACGATATGTCTTTACCTGGCCTTTGCATACACAAGATCCATGGCAACCATAGCAGGAAAAAACACTTAACCTAAAATAAAATAATATAAATTTATAATATATTATAACGGTAACAATTATCTGTGCTTCAAATCAGTGAATGGTTATCGCATACAATGCGTCTACATAATTGGCTAGCTTAAAATACTGTTATATTAATATACCAATAAGTTATTTATTAATTATTATTATTATTGTAAAGAATTTTCTGCTGTACAATATTCATTATACATGATGTTATGAATGCATTGAATATTATGTATGATAAATATTCAACTATAGAAAATGTATAACATTTATATTTCACTAATGGAATGCATCAGTGTTTATATAAATGTCATTAAATTTTTTCGGTATTGTAGTAAAGAATATTAACACACAAATTACCCATGGTCCCATTGTATGTATGTCAGCTGTTCGGTGATGATAGTTAAGTACCACCAACGTGAGTACTACCGACGAAGCCACCATAAACATGATGCAATTGAAGTAAGTACCTATGGAAAAATGTATTATTCAGCTTTTTAATTTTTAATATTCATATTGAGGACTAGATCATTCCTTAACGAAATGTTTTAGATGAATCGTAAGTGCTCTAAAGAATTTTTAAGTTCTAAATGACAAAATTGTATATTTTTGTATTAACTGTAGAAACGATTATGTAAAGCATTATAGTTGTTAAGATGAAAAAAAAAATTAAGGAAAAAGAAATCATGCTTATCTATTATTTACGAGTATGTATGCACGCAATAAGATGAAGAAACTAAAACTAATTCTTATTTATAAAAAGTAATCATATTATTTTTAAATTTATTTCTATAACTATGTATTATTACTTTATTAAAAACAATACCTATGTATAAGTGATTCATTATAATTATCACGTAAATTAGAAAAGGTTATATATTACGTTTGTAGAACATACATGTATACAATTTTATATTTCATAAAAATCAAAATTTCATTAGTAAGACTATGGTAAACTCAATGATTATAATAAAATATGTTTATTTTGATAAAAAAATTATATTCATTACAATATATTTAGTATAGCTAAAAATGTATTTAGTGTTAAAAAATTATTGTAAATTAAATGTTTTTTTTTCAGTTAATTTGTTTAATTTTATGTGAAATTAAACAATTGGTTTTAGTTTATTTGCGCACCTTTTTTATTTATAATAAAAAATATAAGTGGAGAACAATTTCAATGAAGACAATTGTTATACAATTATTACCTATAATTATATGATATTTTATCTTGTGATGCAAGTTTAAGCATTTCACAAAATATATTTAAAAAAAATATTGTGCTTTCTATTATTATATTAATAAATTAACGTATCTAACTATACGACTAGTATATATAAATATATATCTGTATTGTTTGTAAATGAATTTATATTTTAATGTTATTACAGACATATATTATATAAATTATTGTTTATTTATCTAAAGTAAAGTTGTTATATTGTTTCTAAATTATTAAACCATTAATGTCTCACTTTAAAAAATATTAATATTGATTTTATTCATAGTCTATACAATTCAAATATAATATTTATGATACTATTTTGTTAAATTTATTTAAAAGTCTTGTAAATTATACATTAATATTGAGACATACATGTTTTATATCGGTACATACTAAATTTTTTTTAAAGAATATTTTATATAATTAAATTAATAAAGTAAGCATATATTATATTTTATTATCAACGGTTATTTCTATAACCTACTTTCTACTAATTTATATAAATTATATGATTAAATTCAAAATATTACTTGCATACCTACCTAATAATGACATAAGAAAAATAAAGAAACTAAATAAAAAAAAAAAATACTAAAAAAATACACACAAAATAAAATATAAATATGTAAATACATTGTCGTCGATATTCAAAAAGTGGTTAAGTGAAAATGTTTGTAATTTTAAATTTTTTAATCTCATATTTTTTTGTGTATTTTTTAATTAAATAATTTTTGTATAACGTTGATGAAGTCGCTATATGCTATCATGCAAAAAGCGATCATGAAAAAAAAAACAAACGGAGTTATAAAAATTTAAAATTTATAAATAAAATTAAAAAAATATCATTTAACTATTTTTTGCATGACGATGACAATATATTAAGCTAAAAATTTAAATCAGATTTAATTAAATAAATATATGTATTTTTTAATACTCAATTATTAATTCCTCGTCAGATCAGTTGATACTTGGAGTGAGGTAGTACGTATCAACTACAAAATATCATTATTTAATGTTTCGCTTGAAACTGGTTTAAATATTAATAGTATTATTTAAACTTTAGTTAAAACATTTTTTTATTTAAATATATATACATATATATATATATATTCATAATTATTTAAACTTTAAATTTGTTAAGACTTTTGTTGTATACAGCCTGTGTTAGACTAAAACGTCAAAATAATAAAAATTATAAATTATAATAAACGAGAAGTTAAACGTAGAATATAAAAAAATATAAAAATAATTATTAGTGTTATGTAGGATAAACGACAGGTATAAATTCAATAGAAAATAAAGGAATGTAATAGCGTTTATGTCATATAATGGATATCAACTTAAGCCAAATTCACTTTGGTGGTTTATTCGTTACATGTATATAATATATATTATAGTTAAAGGTTTTATGAGAAGACAAAACTGCGTGACATGTGTGCCAGATTCCATAATATTATAACGTAGCTGGTAACTCTAGTCACGTATTAGCTTACAATTTTTCACAGACAAAAAGCTTAAAATTATTATGAAAAAATGATCATTCAAATATTCATGTTAAGTATAGAAATTATATCTATAATTGTCAAGAGTGTTTTTTTTTTTTATTATGAGGTTCAATTTCCCTTTTCTACAAAATAATTTCTTCAGTTATAAAAAAAAATTGATTAAAGTATGATAATATATTGACAGACAAGAGTATTAATAATAAAAATAAATATTATACAATGAAAAGCGTAATTTATTTTCTTCTCATTCTAATAACTAAAACTAAACATATAACTACCTTCAGCATGATGTACGCGTATGATACAATTTAAAAATGTTTAAATGTGTTTGATTTTGAGTGCTAGGATACTGAAAATATTTTAATTCATCAATAATGATGATTGATGACTCCATTAGACCTTTATTATAATATTATTAAAAGTTTAAATAATATTTGCTCAAATATTTTTGTTCTAATTGTCGTATTTATGTATTGAATACGTTTTGGTTTATTTATTTTACTATTATAATGTTTTTAGTATAATGCTACCCATGTCAAAATATGATCTATTTTAAACTTAATTGTAACTACATCAAAGATATTATAACTTTTAACTATGATATTAATGGTGTATTTAATTTTAATTTATATTAAATATTATGTCAAAAATAATTAATGATTATAGGAAACATATAATTGAATATAATATAAATAATATATGTATTGCTTTATTTGATTTGAATAAAATTGTCGTAGAAACAGACGACAGAAGGTATTTTAATATTTAATATACGAGTATGTTTAAAAGCGTATTCTATTCTAAATATTTGTATGAGTCACTTTTTCACTTTTTGAAGTATAGGACAATACACGATGAACTATTGTCAAATTTAATAATGAAAAATTTTCTGTTAATTTTTTTTGTTGTTTTGTTTTTTACGTACGCAATTTGTTTGAATCGGATTTCTTTAAATATAATTGAATTTTGATAATTCAATTTGATATTTTTTTCTCAAAGTAATGTAATAGAAAAAATAAAATACAAAGAAAAATCAATAAATGACCTTTTCAAAATATACCTACTGACCAGACTTAATTTGAAATGGGTATGTTGAAACTTTTAAGGTATCCTCTATGCACAAAAAATCGTTTATAAAGTAATTTTTAAAAAAACACATAATTAAAAAAAAAATATTTAGCACAGAGCTTAAAATGAAGTTTGATTTTGTTCAATAATTTAATAACTGATCTGCATCATGGCCGGTTTTTTTTTTCAGCCATGGCGGGGTAGGATAAAAAAGTGTAATCATTTTCGCATACATAATACATAGGTAATATTATGTTTGATAATAGATATATATTATTTCCTACAGTTATTACTTTTTATTATTTTCTTTAGCTTATTAGTTTATTAAGGATGATTGATCCCGCCATTAGGGGTTTTCATCACCCTTTATTATATATTATACCAAATAATGTATTCTGATTCATTATTATTGAATCTTTGTGTCAAGAGACACAACTAAGTTAATAAATCTAGTTTTGAGTTTACCGACTATTTTTTTTTTTTTTTAAGTTAAGTATATATAAATAAAAAGATTCTTTATTAAAATAGTTAAAAAGTTTAAATTTTGGACCCCATGGACCTCACCAGATATAGCCATGACAAAATATATTAACCTTAGTAACTCAATAATTTGAAATACGAAACGTTATATCCAACTAATGATGTCAGTCAAATAAAAATTAAATTAAAAATAACTAGAAAATGAAATAACTATTACTTAAAAATCTTTAAATGATCATTAAAGATTATTATTTATATTTGGTATTTTATTATTTAATACTTGAAACATTGTTTATATAGGTAATAATTATAGTAGTTTAACATGTTCTTAAAGCAAGTATTTGTTATATTACATTAATTAGTTATTTATTTTTAGAGAAATATAATTTATGCAATTCTAGTGCATTTCTTAAGATATCTTAAAACTTTTAACAAATACTTTTAGATAAGAAACTTATATGAATAAATTAAAATAATATTATATTTTGTCACAAAACTAATTTAAAATTACTTTAAAATATTGTCAAACATATTATAAATAATAAAGTATTTGAAGAATATTGTTATTTTGTACGTGGATATTAATTTAATTTATTACTCGATTTAAATGAAAATATAAAATATTATTATATCTTTATGATCTTCAATAGTTTGAACATCTAGGCTATGAAAAAATAAATCTTTAAGAAATGCTGTGATACTTACCAGTTGAATTTAAAATGTGTTATTCACACGTTATAATATTAAAATTTAGTATGTAACTTAAAAACTCGATTTCCATAGTAATTTGACACTTATAAAATATATTAAAAAAATATTTGAAAGTAAATAAACTTGTTTATTTTTGAAATAATTTTTAATAAATGAAATACGACTCAGATCACTGTTATAACTTTGGAAAGTATTTTTATTGCAATGCAATTTTCTTAGTATATAAAATGAAAATACTTTATTATAGGTAAATTATTTTAGAATTCTTAGTATCTTTTATTCAAAATATATACTTAACAATAATGTTAGTTACCTATTAATTAATAATTTAATTATTATAGTTTAATGTAATTTTATTTCAATACTAAACATGAGTATTTGGTAATTTTGAATATCTATTTAATACTTATTATTAACTATGGTAATACGGTTATGTTAATTTATAATTGATTAATTTTTCATTAGGTAACTATGGTATTTT